ACAACGTTTCGACAAGGTTTTGTCATCATCAGGTACCGAAAATGTGTATCTTATACCTTCTTGTTCGTTCCAGAACCTGATCATACACACAAACCACGCTTCTTAGCTATTACAGTTATTGGTATGTTTTAAATCTTGGTCAGACACTCTGTTGTTTCATTTGGAGATAATTTTCTAATTACTTAATGATGGATTGGGTAAGATATTATTTTATAAACAAAAATACAACATTTTGTTGTATTTTTCCTTTAGTGTCATAGTCTGGGTTAAATGGCCTTAATTAGCTACAATTATGAGGAATAGTTCAAATATGAGGGTGTCCCACGCACATATCTGAAAGGTCTGGAAACATCTGGAATTTTGCCTGGAAATTCAGAATTTTTTTTTTTTGTTTGATAATTTGGCTACCCTGCAATCAGATAATCTTACAAAGTCAAATTAGTAGGCCCTAACGACCATCAGTTAATTTCCCAACAGCTAAAGAGGTAATACGTACTCATAGTGCAGTGTAGTTCATAACACAGATTGCGAGTCGAGTGCCCTAACTACCTGGTCATGCCGGGCCTACAAATGTTGGTTCACGGTGATGAGCAAAATTGAACTCCAAACACGTTATATTAGCATATATACAGTCTTAGAAAGCATTTGGGTGATAGGTATTCCTTCATCAGGGATAAAAAGTGATTTATTTACTTCTCTCATACTGTCCCCCCTCCCCCCAACCTACCCAATAGCTCAGCGGTAAGACTGAGAGCTAACTATTCTAACAAACGGATTTCGATACTCGCTATGAGCAAATAACACAGATAGCAAAACAAACAATTTTATTTATAGCAGACTTCCAAGGGTATAAAAGCACCTCCATTTTGTGACTCAGTGAAGTATCAGATATGTGTTTTTGAAACAAATTAAGTTATTAATTATATCATTGACTCAATGAAGTATCACATATTTTTGTTTGAAACAAATGAAGTTATAAATTATATCATTGACTCAGTGAAGTATCACATATTCTTCTTTGAAACAAATGAAGTTCTTAAATATATCATTGCCTCAGTGAAGTATCCTATATGTTTGTTTGAAATAAATGAAGTTAATAATTATATCATTCACTCAATGAAATATCACATATTTTTGTTTGAAACAAATGAAGTTATTAATTATATCATTGCCTCAGTGAAGTATCAAATATTTTTGTTTGAAACAAATGAATTTATTTATGATATCATTGACTCAGTGAAGTATCCTATATGTGTTTTTGAAACAAATTAAGTTATTAATTATATCATTTACTCAGTGAGGTATCACATATTTTAGTTTGAAACAAATGAAGTTATTAATTATATCATTGACTCAATGAAGTATCACATATTTTTGTTTGAAACAAATAAAATTATTAATTATAACATTGACTCAATGAAGTATCACATATTTTTGTTTGAAACAAATCAATTTCTTAGTTATATCATTGACTCAGTAAATTATCCCATATGTTTATTTGAAACAAATGAAGTTATTAATTATATCATTGACTCAATGAAGTATCACATATTTTTTGTTTGAAACAAATGGAGTCATTAATTATATCATTGACTCAGTGAATTATCCCATAAGTTTGTTTGAAACAAATAAAGTTATTAATTATATCATTGACTCAGTGAATTATCCCATATGTTTGTTTGAAACAAATGAAGTTATTAATCTATCATTGACTCAGTGAAGTATCATTTACTTTAAACCAAATGAAGTTATTAATTATATCATTGACTCAGTGAAGTATCACATATTTTTGTTTGAAACAAATGAAGTTATTAATTATATCATTGACTCAGTGAATTATCCCATAAGTTTGTTTGAAACAAATAAAGTTATTAATTATATCATTGACTCAGTGAAGTATCACATATTTTTGTTTGAAACAAATTAATTTCTTAATTATATCATTTACTCAGTGAATTATCTCATATTTTTGTTTGAAACAAATGAAGTTATTAATTATATCATTGACTCAGTGAAGGATCACATGTTTTCTATGAAACAAATTAATTTATTTATTATATCATTGACTCAGTGAAGTATCCTATATGTTTGTTTGAAGTAATTTAAGTTATTAATTATATCATTCACTCAGTGAAGTATCACATATTTTTGTTTGAAACAAATGAATTTCTTAATTATATCATTGACTCAGTAAAGTATCATATTTTTGTTTCAAACATATGAAGTTATTAATTATATCTTTGACTCAATGAATTATCTCATATGTTTGTTTGAAACAAATGAAGTTATTAATTATATCATTGACTCAATGAAGTATCACATATTTCTTTTTTGTTTGAATCAAATGGAGTTATTAATTATATCATTGACTCAGTGAACTATCCCATATGTTTGATTCAAACAAATGAAGTTCTTAATTATATCATTGACTCAATGAAGTATCACATATTTTTCTTTGAAACAAATGAACTTATTAATTATATCATTGACTCAATGAAGTATCACATATTTTTCTTTGAAACAAATGAACTTATTAATTATATCATTGACTCAGTGAAGTATCATATATATTTGTTTGAAACAAATGAAGGTATTAATTATGTCATTGACTCAGTGGAGTGTCACATAATTTTGTTTGAAACAAATGAAGTTATTAATTATATCATTGACTCAATAGAGTATCACATATGTTTGTTTGAAACAAATGAAGTTATTAAGTATATCATTGACTCAGAGAAAGATCATATATTTTTGTATGAAACAAATGAATTTCTAATATATATCATTGATTGAGTGAACTATCACATATTTTTTGAAACAAATGAATTGATGTATTATATCATTGACTCAGTGTTTGACTATATGTTTGTTTGAAATAAATGAAGTTATTAATTACATCATTGACTCAGTGAAGTATCCCATATGTTTGATTCAAACAAATAAAATTCTTAATTATATCATTGACTCAGTGTTTGACTATATGTTTGTTTGAAATAAATGAAGTTATTAATTACATCATTGACTCAGTGAAGTATCCCATATGTTTGATTCAAACAAATAAAATTCTTAATTATATCATTGAGTCAGTGAAATATCCCATATGTTTGATTGAAACAAATGAGGTTCTTAATTATCTCATTGACTCAGAGAAGTATCACATATTTTTGTTTGAAACAAATGAATTTCTCAGTTATATGATTGACTCAGTGAAGTATCCCATATGTTTGTTTGAAACAAATTAATTTCTCAATTATATCATTGACTCAGTGAAGTATCCCATATGTTTGTTTGAAACAAATGAAGTTATTAATCATGTTATTAATATACAAACAATATCTGTATTTTTCTAGGATCACCTCTTTTTTTTTCGTGGCAAAAAAAAAATGCAGAAATATTCAAACATATTTGTACAAAACACACTCCTTCAAAATTAAGGCATTTATGTTGTGAATCTTTGTGGAATGACAATACGTTGAATGATAATACAATATTTAGCATCACAGTATAAAGCCTTTAAGTTCGTGTGTGTATATATGTATGTGTACATTTATCTATCTTTTTGTATTTTTTGGAAGAACTCCAAGGAAGCACCTAATCACTATAAAAGCTGTGTTGAGCAACAATAATTATAAATATAACAATGAGAGAGTGCCATTCAGAGAGGACTAACCGGTTTGTAGGTGCACGGCCTATTTAGTTATTGAGAGAATAAATCTAGGAGTCAATGCAGGTTCTTACGAAATATTCGCAACGCCGCGCGTAGCTGACGACCCTACCCATTTAGCAATGAAATAATCCAGCTTATATCACAGTAGTTTAGTAACAGTGCCGTCCGTAGCTAACATTCTACCCTTTCTAGCAATGAAATAACCCAGTTTGTTTCATGGTAATTTAGTGGACCTCTCTTTACAAGGATACACGTCATTTTCATGTAAGGCCCGAATGTTAAACAAGAGTAGCTCCATGATAGACAGCCAATGTAAGACAGCAGCGTTAGAGGATTCTTCTTTGATGTGGGTTTAATTTAAGTATTCATATGATTTTTTTAACCTTTGGTAAGACAATCTATTGTATCTTAACCCATTTGTCCAGAGTTACCGAATTTTTAAATGTTTTCATTCTTTCAAGATATATAAGTTGAGATAATGCGATCGTCATAGACAATATTAATTTTTATCTATTTGTTAATTTTTTCTTCTCTACCAACCCACGAATAGAACACCTAAGGTGTTTTAGGTATCTAGTGGTGAGAAAAGTACTATACATATCTAAACACAAATAGTAATTCTTACAATGAAGGGGGAAGATTTCGGAAAAGTTACCCCTGAGATAGTTAATATAATTATAAAATTAATTTTATTAGCAACTGTAAATTTGTCTAGAGATTAAACTTCATAGGGAGAGTATTGAGCTTTTACGTGAATAATTTCATGCTGTTAAGCTTGTTAAAACTGTACCACGTTTCTAGCTTTATTAGAGTGAATATATATATATTTATTTATTTATCAGTAAATTTTCAGAATTTCTCTTGGAAGTGAAGTTATTCCTGATAGATAGTGTTCGTAACAAATAAATTTCTACCAAAATATTAAAGTAAATGAGGAGCATTAAATATAACGATCAGTGAGGGGTCAGTAAGAACTTAATAATCGTATCATTTTCGTCCCCTGGTGGCTTAGAAGTTGAGAGCTTTTGGCGCTAAAAATCGGGTTTTAATACCCGCGGTGAACAAGCGCACAGATAGCCAATTGTGTAGCTTTGTATTTAACGACAAACAAACAAAACCTGTTGTTTTCGGAACTTAGATATATGTGCTATGTTTCGGGGGGTATTGACTCGAAAACTTTTCAAACAAATTGAAAGTATAAAACGGGTTCGAATCCAGTCACCGAACATGCTCGCTCTTTTGGACGTGAGATCGTTATAATGTGACGGGTAATCCTACTATTCGTTGATAAAGAGTTAGTAGCTTAAGAATTGGCGGTGAGTGATGTTGACTAGCTGCCTTCCTCCTATTTTGTTACTTCAAAATTAGGGACGCCTTTTGCAATCAGCCCTTTGGTTTTGCGTGAAACTCAACAAACAAACATAACGTTATGGAAACCAGTGCCGTTTCAAATAGACCCGAAACATGATAGTAAAGTTAATTTACAGTTAGTATAGATCAAGAAAATTCTAAATTTTCATTGAAAACTTAAAAACTTTCAATTTGGTGTTAGTCTCCAGCATTTCATAATGATTTCGTAGATATGCTGTGGAATTATTTGATTAAAGTAAAGTTGTAGCTTTGAACCAGGAAACGAAATAAAAAAAAATGCTTAGGCCTTCAAAATTTTTTCATTAGGTATTTCGACAGTATTAAGTAGTCCCCAAGGAACGTGGCATAGAAGCCACTAACGTTCCTTGGGGACTACTTAATACTGTTGAAATACTTAAAGACTGCATGAAGATGTATGTGGCATAGAAGCCACTAACTACATCTTCATGCAGTCTTTAAGTATTTCAACAGCATTAAGTTGTCCCCAAGGAACGTGGCATAGAAGCCACTAACTACATCTTCATGCAGTCTTTAAGTATTTCAACAGTATTAAGTAGTCCCCAAGGAACGTGGCATAGAAGCCACTAACTACATCTTCATGCAGTCTTTAAGTATTTCAACAGCATTACGTATTCCCAGGGAACGTGGCATAGAAGCTTCATGCAGTTTTTAAGTACTTCAACAGTATTAAGTATTCCCCAGAGAACGTGGCATAGAAACAACTAACTACATCTTCATGCAGTAAAACGTCTTTAGACCCTATGATTTTACAAGTGATAACATTTAATAAATCTCCGCATGGACAGATGAAGCAGAAGACACAAATTTTTTTTCACAATTGACCTAGTACAAGAAATCTCGACAGATGTTTGTTACCAAAGTTCCAGCAACTGATAGAAATATGTAATTTATTACTTGTAACACTTGAAGACGTTTCCAAAGGTTGTGCATTAAAATTAAATCAAGTCTTAATGTTGTTACGATGGGAGAACTAATAAATGAAAAACAACTTACTTTGTAACAGAAAAAAAAATGCATGACAATTAGCAAATTATCGATTTTCACACTTAATCAATGACTTTAACATGCTACACATTTAATTTAAAAAAAACAACAGATAACCACAGATGATTAAGCACAGTAGATTTGTTTAAAGGTTGTTCAAGATGTCTAATCCGAGCGTAGCAACGTAGGATTGAGTTTTATATCTTTACCAGTCACCACTGACAAAAATTTTCACAATCTAAAATGGAGAAGTCCTTCGTATAGAAACCGAAACGTCATTTCCTTTTCTTTCAACAGGCAGTTACAGTCCACTATAGTTTCCAAACCTATTTTTACAAATTGCCACCCTTTGACAGAGTCGGAATGAAATCCTCACATGATGTAGGCTGGAGCTTAATAACACTTGCAAAAGACCTCAGCTGTTGACCAGGTACTGTGAAGTACATATTTTGACAGATACATTAAACAAGGCAGAAAAGGGAGAGAAAAGCTTCACAAAAGAGATTTTAAGGATCTAAAACCGATGAAAAACTGCTAAAATCCTTGCTGGTGACAGTAACAAGTCACTTACACACAAAGTTTCAAAAAGAAAAGTATCGAAAACGCTAGAAAAATTGGAAAAAGTGACACAGGAAATAGCTTTTACCAAATAAGATGCATCCTAGTATTTGGTTTAAATCTGAACTGTTTGGTTCAAAGTGGTGTGTGTGTGTGCACTCATTTGCCATTAACCGACAGGCTTTGATAAAGAATGCTTACTCGAAGAGCCGCCAAGAAAATAAAATACAGCAATAATATTTTTTAAAGTGATTTTTTTTTTTGCAAATGTCTAATTTTTTCGTGTTATTACCTTCGCATTTTTCTCGATATTTCCTGTTCTTTCTACCCACAGTTGAGCATGCAAGAGGCTCTGTGATGATTTGGGGGCTCAGTGTCTTCGAATGTTTTTTTTTGTTGTTGTTTTCTTTGTTTAAAATTAAGCACAAAGCAACACAATTGGCTGTCTGTGCTCTGCCCACCACGTGTATCGAAACCCGGTTTCTACCGCTGTGCCACTGGGGGCCTCCGAATGGTGTTGGCCATCTTCCCAAAATTGATTGAATCATAGATGAGCATAAATACGACAATATATTAGTTCTTTATTTTGTTTGTTTGTTTTTGAATTTCGCGCAAAGCTACACGAGGGCTATCTGCGCTAGCCGTCCCTAATTTAGCAGTGTAAGACTAGAGGGAAGGCAAATAGTCATCACCACCCACCGCCAACTCTTGGGCTACTCTTTTACCAACGAATAGTGGGATTGACTGTCAGATTATAACGTTCTTTATTTTATACCCTCCTGAAAAAAAAATGGTTGAGTAGAATTTCACATTTAAAAAAAAACACCCCAAACACACACTTCCAAGAAAAATCCAGCATATTTTGCGAATTTCGCCATGGTTTAATGCTCCCGGCAGAATTGGGGGGGAGGGGGGCACTAGAGGGCAGCCTTCTTTGCCCCAGCCTCAAACCTTTTTGTGAAGTGATGAGCTGCTGCTTGATAAAAGTACCAACCGTAAACCACCGGACACAACTTCAATAAAAAAATTAAATCAAATTACTTAGCATTAAAGCAATTTCGACACTAATTGTGCGCTAACTTTTTAATAGTTTCTCGTAAAACTAATTTGTAATAATTAGAAGATAATTTCTATAATTTGCGCATTACATAATTTGCACATTACATAATTTGCACATTACAATGGGTGTATATATATATATATATATATATATATATATATATACT